TGTTTATACAGGGTGTTCCGTAAGTAGAAGGAAATATTTAAAAAGTTAATCATAGACAGTAAGAGCACATCATTTCTTTACAGAGCTTGAGGTGGATCTCAACATTTTTTTTTTCTGAGTAAATCTCAACTTAATTAATATGGAGTTAAAGCCTGTTAAACAAGGAGGCTTTTTGAAAAGTATTTGTAGTTAGTGTAGGGGTATTTGTAGTGCAGTTGAAGGGTGATAAAAAAAATCACGAAACATTTGTGGCTTTTTTAAACGGAACTTCGCTGTGTTTATCCGCTCAATATTCCTCTTTAAATAGTTTTAATAATGATAAACTCCACTTTCTTTTAAAGTAAATTTTGTCCAGTTTACTATGGAGCAATTTTTAATTACTTGAACCAAATATTTTTTAAGTTATCGCTTTCAAAAAAAAAACGCGACTCGCTTAAAAAAAAACCAAATCTTGAATTTTCTCCATTTCTGCTGAAAAGTGAGCTATTGTTTATATAACCTTTTTTGTAGATCTTTATGTTTACTATGAACCTCTTAAATATTTTCCTCTATTTACGGGGTACCCTGTTATGTACCTATCGATATTATTCGAACATATCTAACCTTTGAAATTCTAGCTATTAGCAAAATTGAACCAGGGAAAAAAATTAGCAATTCAATTGATTTATAAAATGTATTAATTTCCTTCAATTTTCAATGTTTGCCATGAATCGCCTAAAGCAATTATCTGAAGACCCGAATAGGAAACTAGTTTAAAGTTGGATAGTGAGCGTTTAACCTTAAGGAGATCCATGACTATTTGTCGTGTATGTTGTAACGTCTTTTTCCGCTAGGAGTTAGTCCGTCCGGTGCTGCGCTCTATAGGGAAATTATAGGCTTGATACAGGAGCTTACGATAAGCCAGTGTATGTCTGTAACCCATCAACGAAGTTCTTTGTACCTTAACTTGTCTTATAAATGTATTAATATTAGTTGGAAAAGAAGTTTAATTTTTTTTTTTTTTTTGTTGCTCCCAGCTGTAAGCAGCCAATTTTATTTTTGTGTTTATTATAATAACAAATTTTAAATTAATTATAACATAATAATTCATAGTTGGTATTTACATATGTTCTCTTGTAAGAAGAAAATATAATTGTTGCTGTTGGTATCTTTGAGAAAAATTCTGACCTACCTGGACCTAATCCCAAACTAAATCACATTGGTGAACTAAAGATATGTGAGTAGGGCGTTCAATTTTATGTCACACTCTCCAGGAGCCTGGGGGATCTCTCCCATTATTAGTAAGCGTGTCCATCGGACTTAGTCGGGAGGAACTTTTAGGCAATACACAGTAATGAGATCCGCACGAGTATCTTACGTATCTAAGTTCTACGATAACTAGAAAAAAAACGAGAGTGAAGAGATGATTAAGATTAGGCTGAAGAGGGGAAATGCTTGTTATTTTTCTGTGACAAAACTACTTAGTTCGCGCCTCTTGTCCCGGAACTTAAAAATTAGAATCTATAATACCATTATCCTACCAACGGTTCTTTACAGATATGAAATGTGGCCACTTACAAGAGGAGAGCAACTCTTAAGGTTTTTTTAAAATAAAGTATTGCACAGAATATTCGGACCGAAGAAGGATGAGTCAACCTGAGAATTTAGACGGTTGCACAATGCTGAATAGTGTGAAATATATCCAGTTAATATAATTTAAAATAATTTAAGGTGAATGACAGAGTAAAATTGTTGATCCTAATAACGAGAGAACCCGAAAAAATTAATATTTGCTGTGCCAGCTGGTAAATTTCCGAGCCGTAGACCGAAGCGAAGGTGGGAAGATTGCTTTAAGGCTGTTGTGTTGGGACTGAGTTTGTATAGCACTCGATGAATGGGGAATGTAGACATCGATTGTAGTTTCGGCATCGGTTAAGTTTTATTATTGTTAATTTCATTTATGTTATATTCATTCAAACAATTAGATCTCTTTTCCGACCGAAAATGGATAATGGATTTTTTATTTGGTAATTTAGCTTATTCTAAAATGAATTGGTTTTAAGAAGAGGAAAATTAAACAAATAGGGAATTATTACAACTTGGACAAATGAAAATTTAAATTTAAGATTTATACATACAAAAAGTATTTAAAATTATAACTTTTTTGGCTGTAAAAAAAGTGAAAAAAGTCACAGGTGCGTTCAGTTAATCCGTATAAACACTGCAAATTTTTCTATAAGATTCTGCAGCACGCTCACCATTTTTAAAATAATCCAACAAAATATGCCGATTAGTGTTGCCCAAAAACGGACTTGCTCATGCAAAGTGGAAGACCAAGACCAAGGCCGCCTAACTGTTGCAAAACTATTAACGGAACTGGTAAAAAAAATTCGGTTTTTCAAATAAAAATTAAGGCAAAATAGTTACTAATACTCGACAATTTTAGATACTATATGTTAATAATTGGTATAAATTAATTGGTATAATTAAGCTTTTGCATTTAATAATAAATTAATGCAGGCCGGTCCCTCCACGCCCAGTGGTATAATAAAAGGCCTCTGGCCACAGATGCAAAGAACGCATACAGCGTGCAGAGCCCTCTTACCTTAAAATGCCCTTGGGCAATAAAAGGAAATTGAAAATTTATGCATATATACATACTGTATTTATTCAAGAAATTCCTGGGGGGCAGGAAAAAAAAAAAAAAAAAAAAAAAAAGCTTTTGCATTTAACTCATCCAATTTTTCATTCGGGCTTAGTTAGGTTTCTTCTATCTAAAAAATTACAGTAATACCTCTATAATAACAAGCTAATAAGTAACTGCAAGACTGTTGCGCAAGACCAAGACCATGACCAAGACTGAGATTGCAAGACCAAGACTGAGATTGCAAGACCAAGACTCGTCATTTGAGCAACACTAATGCCTATAATGAATGATACATTCTTCCATCTACACAGTGCAAAAGCAAAACACAATAATGAGCCAGTTTCAACTAGTGTTAACACTAGTGTTGTCCGAAATCGGTCTTGGTCTTGCATTTTGCCAAGGACGCCTAACTGTTACAAGACCAAGACCAAGACTAATAGAAAAAATCGATTTTTTGAATAAAAATGAAGGCAAAATAGTTACTAATACTTGATAATATTAGTTACTATACGCAAAGTATTGGTATAGCCAATATACTTTTGCATTTAACTCCTCTAATTTTTTATCCGGGCTTAGTTAGGTTTCTGTTCTAAAAAAATACAGTAATATTTCTACAGTAATAAGGTAATAAGTAACTGCAAGACTTTGTGCAAGCCATCAGAAAAATTATAATTAAGTCAGGAGGAATCATTTTCAACAGATTAACACAGTATATAGTGTATGCCAACGATGTCGAAATCTCTGTAAGATGGCTGCCGGCATTAGTAATAGCGCAAAAAGTGTTCGAAACACTAGCGGATCTAGGATTTATTTTTCGGAGGGGGAGAAGAGAAATTCAGCCCGAGAGCTTTTTTTTTCATAAATAATAATAATAGAAAATAACTTTATTCTGGGACAAAGTCCCTTTAGAATAACAAAATAGAGCATAATTAAAAGACTACATCTGGCCAAAATAAAACAATAATAAAAAAAGAGAAAGTAAAGAAAATATTTGTTAAACAAGACAAAAAAAAAAACTATATACAAAACACTTAAAACTATGTACAGTAGGAAAAATTATAATTATACACTTTTGAAAAATAAAATTATCAAAAAATACATTGAGTTCTTCTTTAAAATAAGCTGTGTTTCTGCTAACAAAGGAAATCTGACAATATAAAATGTCAGAGTATTTAAATAATGAATAATATCTAAACACATCATTATCTTATTGTTACTATAGTTTCAAATTTATTTGTATAAGAATAAAAACAATAAAAAAACAAATAATAGATGCATTCAGTAGCATTATTTGAATTATAGCATAGAGTAGGAAGATATTGTAAAATCCCTAGTGAAGTTTACAGTATTGAATAGTACTGGAATTTGATGATGAATGATATAATACAAATGTATAATATCAAATGCTTAGCAAGCATCTGACTGTTTTTGGGATAGGAATTGGAATAGGATGGTTTTGAATATGGATATGGAGGGGGAATGCCAAATTTTGATTGGTAGGGAATTCCAGACATTGACAGCGCGAGCAATAAAGGAGTTTTAAAATGAGACAGATCTGTGAGAAGAGATGCAGAGGTCAGAAGGTCGTTTATATATATATATATATATATATATTATATATATATATATATATATATATATATATATATATATATATATATATATATATATATATATAACGATAATTAGTTTTTTTAAAAAAAGAAAGAAATTAACTAAACTACCTAAACGATATTGTGTTTAAGTGGGTTTTCAAGTCCTATTAAATGTAATTACACGAACAAGAATACTTTAAGAGAGGGTTTTTAATATTTTTTTCTGTAAAATATGGTTATATTTTACCGTTTTGGGGGGAGAGCGCTTCAGCCCGAAAATCCCCCTCCCTTCTCCCCGTAGATCCGCCTGTTGTTCGAAAGAACAGCTAAGGAACTTGGTTTGAGTATTAAGAAGAATAAAACTAAATACCTAAGGACAACTAGAGATGGCGTTTTTAAGGAAGAAGAAATCAAGATACGTGAGCACTACTTCTCAGGATGCAGGAATCAATAGTCGATATTATCGAAATATCGATATATTCCTTCCTATATTCGATATTTTATCATCGATATTATGGATTATCGATACCGTCTCACCATATTTTTAATTTAAAAATAAAAATGAAAACTATCGTTTTCGGAAATCGCTAGGAATCATGATCGCTAAAATGCATGATTCTGTTCGTTAGAAATAAATATATACTGAGGGAGTAAAAGGGAAAAAAGTATTTCAAACATATCTTAGTAAAAAAATTAATGATTAAAAAAATATTTAGTAAAATTATATTAGTATTCCATTGTTTATTTGGTTTTGATGTATTTTTCTGTTTTGGTTTCAGAACCCGGTGGCACACTGCTGGTCCGAACAGACCCATCACAAACGGAAGTTCTGTAACGTATGCCGGAAGAGGTTAGAAGACAGCAGCCTATCGTCTCATTGCGAAAGTAAGCATATTTAAAAATATGTTATGACTCTTTAAAATTACTTTAATGATTTGTTTGTATCAACGTAACAGCAATTCTGCAAAAATGTTAGACATTTTTTCCGACATTTTTAGTTTAAATTCAGAAGGTTTTAATTTTTAGTTCCTTTAGTAGTGACAAAGGTTTTTGTTTAACTTTATTTATATATTTATTTATATATATATATAAATATATGAACACATTCATACCATATATACAAAAAATATAAAATTAACAAAAGTAAAATAATCATCAAAAACTATGTACAATAAAAATTAAATAACCTAGAGTAAATTAAAAACATAAAAACACAGTTATATCTATATCCAATCAGGCAGGGACCCCAAGCCAGGCTTTTCCCTCCAACTATAGAAGGAAAAGCAGGACTGCAAGATATCCCTGCGCTACTCTATCAACTGCGTCACTGGTGCTAAAGTCAGTGGAGTTTGAGCGAGAGCACTTTAGCCGCATACACTCATGTCATGAGTGGAGAATCAGGCCATTGCCAAAACTCCAAGATATATACTACAAGAGATCTCTGTACTCCTCAACCTTCGAGGAGGATTATAGAGATTGGCGGAACTAGATAGGGATTGTATTAGGGGATTCGGTTGATTTATAAGGTTCTGATGGAATTTGGAAAATTTGTCTGACTTTATAGTTAAAGTTCCAAACCATTCTTTACTAGCGGATCCAGGATTTAATTTGGAGGGGTCTTTTTTTTCATATATATAACGATAATTAATATAAAAAAAGAGAAAGATACTAACTACCTATATGAAATGGTGTTTAAGTGTTTCTTGAAGTCCTATTAAATGTAATTATACAAATAATAATACTTTAAGAGATAATTTTTTTTCCATAAAGCATGGTTACATTTTACCATTTTGGGAGGAGGACAGGGGGTTTCAGCCCGAAAGACCCCCCTCGACCGTTCATCCGCCTGTGTTTACCAGTACTAACACAAATAGATTACAAATCATATCGAAGAAGGATCAATTCCTGGATGGGCTACCGCACAACTAAAATGAAAGAAGCTGGTATACAGCATTTCAAAGTCAATTACAGGTACATTTTGTTGATCCCGACGCTGATGTAAACATTTAAAAAATCGAACGACTGTGGGGCAGTTTTTTTTTTAATTTTTTGTCTTTTTTATTGATTTTGTGCTCAAATTATCCCGCTATTCAAGTGGAAAGAAAATGGTTATTTACGTTGTTTTTTTTTTAGTACCTAATTAAATAGATAAAGTTTAATTAGCTACTAAAAACTTGTATATAACCATTTGCTTTCCACTTGGATCGTAAATTAATAATTTAATGAATTAATTTGCTCACAATCGAGAACCCAAGAGGGTGGACTAAAAAATATTTGTCCGTTTGGTGTATATAACCTCGTTATTTTGAAATGTTGGGGGTGTAGATCTCGCCAAACGATCCAATATTTTATTAGGCCGTCTTTTTTCTCGATGTTGTGACCAAATTAACTTAAGATCCAAGTGGAAAGCAAACGGGTATATGCGAGTTTTTAGTACCTAATTAAATAGATAAAGTTTTCTGATCTTCAGATTGAAAACGGCCCAATTTCAAGAGTTTTCGTAAATAAAATAGTTCTAGTTTACGATGAGATGAAGCTCTTTACGAAGTTTCAGGCGGGTGTTAATAATTTGATAAAAAAAAGGGTGGTCTGTACCACGGACTAGATAGACACTTATATCAATTACGAGTCAAACCCGATATTGATCCAGAATCACTAGTGCAATTGAGATCAATTTTTTCCTTATTGATTGAACAGTGATAGGTTGAATCGGGACCGAGCAGTGAGTCATCCCCGAATGTCACGCAAAGGAAGTGGCACGAAACTTGGGACGGAAAGGGATTCGTGTTGGCTGGCGTCATTGGAAACAGTTAGCGGGGGGGGGACCTACTCAGGGAGCTATTTAGGAGGCCTTTAAATATGAATTATTAAATTCCTGATTAACAGCTGATGATATGGTTTTAGGCAATGAGCCTTTATCTGTATTCTGTGGAAGGTAGATAGAAAATTTCTATTCAAATGTGTAAGGGAATTGAATACCATATGAATGAAATTAAATTAAACTGTGTATATTATACTAAAAAAAAAAAAAAGTTGTAATTTATTACTATATATACTAATACGCTACCTCGGGCTAATATTTGACAGAAGGATGACCTGGGGAGAAAGACTTTGAACGAGCGACTGAAAATACTATGCTCACTTTTTTCTAAATCAAAATTGAAAATTAGACAAAAACTAAATACATACACTTACCTGCTCAAACCCATCTGAACATACAACTCACAGATTTACGGTTCAGCAAAAAAGACTCACAAAAACTACAATCATTTCAATCAAAGTGATATTTATTAATACAATGACATGAGAACATTTGTATATAAACTAACATTGGAAGAACATACAAATAAATTTTAATAAAATAAATAAATAATAATAAAATTCCTAAATGATGACATCGCAAGGCCCAGAAGGGGATTTCATTAAATTTTTTGAGGGGGGCGCATTTTGAACTTCTGAGGAGAGCACATTTCCACTGTGTTATGATTTTTCGAAATGAAAAGTTTCAAATCAGAGGACAAGAGGAAAGCATAGAACAAACCACTGAAGTGTAATTGTATATGACCAATGATTTTTAAAATTCTACTTTAGTTTGCACTGATTTTAAGAAGAGGAGAGCAATAAAATGTCTTGGGAGGGAGGGAGAGGTTTATGCGTCATTGATCATGAGGGAGAAGGATAGGCACCAATGTTTTTGTTTATATACATTCACTTTTAGTATAAATTATTTTATTGTTTAATTTATTTCTAATTACATATAGAGTGAATGACCTACTCTATCACTATTGCTAATGTTCTTAATTGTGAAAAAACATTAATATGAATCAATAAATAAATTTGGAAGCTAAATATATATATATATATATATATATATATTTTCTGAACATATAATGTGAATGTAGTTTTACCAGACTATAATCATTGTCCGTGGGATAGAATGCTATATCACCCAATAAATAAAATATTCAGGACAACATATCTCTCATCCAGTTCTTTTTCACTCGCCTTCTGACGGAAATGTCAACTATGCCCATGTCCTTTATAAGTCTCAGGGGTGCCCATCCACCTCAGGTCAATGGCACAGGAACTCCCCTCCCCTCCAAGAAATTTTATTTCTTTCGACTTCTAAAAAACAGTCCACACGAAAACATAATTACAAAAATCGTAGATCTACACTTTCTGTTGTCTGGTCTATGGTTTCTTCTTATTCCCTGGTTTGAAACTTTTCACTTTTAAAATTCATAACCCCGTCGAAATGTGCCGTCCTCAAAAATTCTAAATCCTGTTAAAATGTGCCCCCTCAAAAATTTTGATGGGACCATAAAACCACCTTCTGTGTACCAATGATAAGTCTGTTGTGTCCGTGCAGTTTATTATGTAGCCGGGAGTTATGTAGTACGTATATATATGGGTGGATAGTTGGTTATCGTAAGTCGGTATCAAAGTTATGTTTTATGTACCAAGATTACCATTAGCCCACACGTCAAAATGAAAAGAAAGAGTTTGAACAAGCGACTGAAAATACTGTACTCACTGTTTTCTAAATCAAAATTGAAAATTAGACAAAAACTAAATACATACACTTACCTGCTCAAACCCATTTGGACATACGCCTCACAGATTTATGGTTCAGCAAAAAACACTCACTTACAAAAACTACAATCCTTTCAATCTAAAATTTTGAGACTAATAACTGCAGCTCCCTGGTACGTCAACAATAAGACTTTACATACCGACCTAAGACAACCAACCATTGACCAGCACATACGTACTCTTTACTCCCGATTTCATCTAAAACTACACGGACATCACAATGGACTTATCAAAAACATGGCCACGGCTGAAATGCTCATCAGGAGGCGACTGAAAAGGAGCTGGATGAGAGATCTCCTTTCCTGATTTTAGGATGTAAACAGGCCAGGGAAGAGGTGCTGCTGGGCTCCATTCTTCGTCATGCCTATCATGTCATTTTCAATTTAAACAGCAAATCTGCTAATTGTCTCTACCATGACAGGTGCGGATGAGGATGTAAAGACAAAAAAAAAAAAAAGATTACCATTATTAGTCTTAAAATTTTGGATTGAAAGGATTATAGTTATTGTAAGTGTGTACTTTTTAAAACAAAATTTGATCACAAGTTCTACACTAAAAAATTATATAAGAAACCAATATTTTTTTTTTATTAGTCTTAAAATTATTCACTTATAACCTAACCATTTCACCTGTTGCAGTCTGTGAGTACTTTGTCCACGCCGAGTGCCAAGACTTCGCATTAGCCGATTGCAAGGAGAATGCGACTTACCTTCCTGGGAAAGAACTGTCTCTGGTCCACCATGAACACCACTGGCGAGAGGGCAACCTTCCAAACGGCTCCAAATGCGCCGCATGCAAGAAAGTCTGCGGCTCCTTTGAATGCCTCTCCGGATTCCGCTGCGAGTGGTGCGGGCTTACGGTATGTGCCATCTGTTATGTATATGTTATTATATATGTATATCTGTTATTAGAATGAACTTTAATTAAACTTAAAACAAAAACTAAACACTTACAATTACCTACTTAAGCCCATATGGACCTACGCTTCACAAATTTACGGGACAGCCAAAACGACCCACATACGAAAACTACAAACTTTTCAATCCAAAACTTTCAGGACCATAACTAAAGCTCCTTGGTACGTCACAAACATTACATTACATTACATACAGTGGTCCAGGTGTCTAAAAAAATTATAAATAATCCGTAGGCGAGAGGTCCATGTGGCAGAGTTTCATATCCAAGCTCCAACAGTTTTTGTGGCGTCACACATGAGACAGTGGCTGGGCGTTGTCATGCAACAAAATGGCCCCTTCCAATTGGCCAAAGATGGCTTTATTATTGCCAATTTCTGATGCCTTAATTTGGTTAGAATACGATTTGGTATTGATGGTTTCTCCAGGATTTAAGAAGCTGTATTATATCTAACCAAATAAAGCCCACCAAACAGTAGCCATCACCTTTTTTTTTTGATGAGTTAGAGAACTTGAAAATGTTCTGCTTTTTCTTTGTCGAGCCACTGTCCAATACCTTCAAATGCCAACAGTTAACGATCACATACGGATACACTACAAGCTATTTCACAATAACTTACATGGACATACTAACACACTTATACAAAATATGGCTAGATTTACCATGTTCGAAAACACATTTAAGAGGCTCAAAAGGAGCTGAATGAGGGATTTCCTCGCTTAAAAAGATGCTAAAATCAAGACAGGAAGGGATGCCGCTGGGCACTTCTCTCCATCACGCCGATCAAGCCACTACCTGTACACTTACCGACAGTAGACCCGCTAATAGTCATTGCTTATGACAGGTTTGGGTGCATAAATAAAGTTAAAAAAAAAAAATTCTCTTACTCGACATTAGTTAATCATGGAAGGATGATAATTCATTTTTAAAAATTAATGGACTGAAATTTCAGAAACTTCCATCCTTATTTATCTGCACATTGATTTAGAAAAATACTGAAAAAAAAAAAACCGACTTCGTTTTCTAGCTTTCTGAGTGGCGTTTTCGCAATTATATTAGTATCTTTATTTTACAGTTTAATTGTGACTGAGATACTCTATCACAATTACTAATGTTCTTAATTGTAACAAAATGTAATATTAGTCAATAAAGAAATGAGGAAGCTAATCGAATATATATAATGTGAATGTAGTCTTGCCACACTATAACCAGTGTTAGAAACAGAGCTCTATCTGGGCTGAAATTGAACAAAGCAGTTTATGGTAGTTATATTCGTTATTATATTGGCTTATCCGGAAAATAATGCAAGATTTTGAGTTTTCTTTAAAATACCCCTCTATTTTATACAGAAACTTTTTGTATGAATGCCAACACTTATTAATCCTTATCTAAACGACGTTTGTTAACCTCTGTAGCATTTCACTGCTTAGAAATAATTCAGTCTTTACTAAGATGTCAACGCGTCATTTTCACATAATTTTGTTTTACGAGTTTAAACTCGGCCGGAATGGGATCCAGAAGGCCAGAAACGTCAATCAAGTCTGGGGCGAGAGCAGCTTTAATGAGTACACTGTTCAACGGTGGTTAAAAAAAAATCGAGAGGGATACTTCAGCCTTGAAGACAAAGAAGATCGTGGAAGGATGGCGATGTTAAGTGGGCTTTAATGGAAGAAACCACAGAACAAGTGTACGAGAACTGTCCGGAAAACTTAGAATTAGCAAATCGATCGTCGATGACCACCTCAAGGAGATTGGAAAAGTAAAAATGCTTGAAACTTGAGTTCCACACACATTAAACGATCGCCAAAAAAAACAACAGCGTTATGAAATTTGTGCTACATTTCTTTATTGAAACAAAAACGATCCTTTTCTGTCAAGAATTGTTCCTTGTGATGAAAAGTGAACAATTTACGATAACAGTAGAAGTTTTGGACAGTGTCTCGACAAAGGAAAAGCAGAATATTTTCAAATTCCCTAACTCATCAAAAAAAAAAAAAAGGTGATGGCTACTGTTTGGAGGGCTTCATTTGGTTTGATACACTACAGCTTCTTAAATCTTGAGGTAACCATCAATGCCGAATCATATTGTAACCAAATTAATTCAATGCATCAGAAATGGCAATAATGAAGCCGTCTTTGGCCAATCGGAAGGGACCCATTTTGTTGCATGACAACGCCCAGCCACATGTCTCATGTGTGACGCCACAACAACTGTTGGAGCTTGGATATGAAACTCTGCCACATCCGCCCTACTCTCCGGATCTCTCGCCTACGGATTATCATTTTTTTAAACACATGGAGATACAAGACAATAATAATAATAATAAAAAGGCTTAGCGAACCCGAAGGTTCGATGCCGACACCACCAATCGCTTATTGCACACCTCCCTCCATCGTTCGCCGTCCAAACCCAGTCCCTTCAGATCGGCTTTAATGCAATCTTCCCACTTTCGCCTCGGTCTACCGCACAGCAAATATTAATCTTTTAGGAATTCTCTCGTTACTAAGCCCAACAACTTTACAAGCCCATTTGATTCGCCGCGACGATATTACCTCAATTATATTACCCGGATATAGTTCACGCAATTCGGCGTTGTGTAACCGTCTGAACTCTCCGGTTAACTCATCCTTCTTCGGTCCGAATATTCTACGCAATACTTTATTTTCAAAAACCTTAAGACGCTGCTCATCCCTTAAGATAAAAACTTACAAGATAAAAAAATTAATAAACTAAGGGAATTAGAAAATGAATTTCTGTAGTTTATCAACTCTAAAATAGCCAACACGTTGGCAGAAATGTGTTGAAAGTAGTGGAAACTATTTTGATAAAATAAAACAGTTGTAAATCTTTCTTTTTAGACCAAAATCCTGCATTATTTTACGGACAGCTCAATAGTTTGCGATACTCATCTTTGTAATTATTACTGGTTTCAAGATATTAAGAAAGTTAAGTTATCTGGTGAAAAAAAGTAACATGGTAGCCATGGGAAGCAAATAAGCTACTTCCGGGACCTGCCTAAAAGATGGAATGTACTCAAGTGAATAAAATATCTTGAAAATTTAAGCAGAGTAGTTTTACTACATAGGTTTTCTGTTACGTTTTAGTCACCCTCCTCTTTATTTATATGATATTTACAACTGTATACAAAAAATACATCTGGTAAATTCGCACATTGGTATAAAGACATGGAACACATGTTGAGAAACTACCCATTGGTAGCACTCTAATAATATGTCTATATTAGAAGATCACGTGGCCATCTTCTTTTCAGACGCCTCGGAGGGTTATCAGGAATCGAATAGGAAGCAAGGTTAGAGACAAGAGGGTTGGGATGGTTATGAAGTTTATTATGGAAGGACAGATATCTGGATTGGGACAAATCTGATACATAAGGAACATTAAGGTCATTATGGATATTATGGAGATTTTATTTGTAACAAAGTAAGGAGCATTGAGGATTTTACGAAGGATTTTGGATTGTAAGGATTGTATGCGAGAGGAATTTGAAGGTTTGGTGGAGCCCCATAGCTCATCTTTGGAAACTTAAATTAAGAATAATATCACACAACTTAATATATTATGCAGGATTTGATTAATCCATAGTTAAAGATTTTAAATTTAATCATAATATTCTATAGAATGTATTACTTTTGTTTCCAGTCTCACGCGGTATGTCGGAAAACAGTCAGCAGCTTGTACCCCGAGTGCCAGTTTGGCAACCTCCAACCGATCTACCTCCCGCCGCACGCCGTCAGCATTCCAAGAACCGAAGTACCCATGGAGGCCATCATTGGTGTTCAAGTCCGGAGGAAGGAAACCTTGTCACGTGAGTACCCAGGTTACAGACCCATTTCATCGAGAAGATATTTTTACTTTCATTTACCTATATATGAAATATATAGTCAAGGAAATTATTGCGATCGTGAAAATTTTCAAATCTTAGTTTTTCAACGGAAATACACGTTTTGAGGTCCCTTGAGTCCAAATAACCAAGTCCCAAATAAGTGTGTGTGTGTGTGTGTGTGTTAACTAGTGTTGCCCAAATACGAGACCCAGACGAGTCTTGGTCTTGCAAACTCAGTTTGGTCATGGCCTTGGTCTTGCACAGGTGTCTCGCAACAGTCTTACAGTACTGTATTTTGTTGATAGGAGAAACCTAATTATAAGCCTGAATGAAAAATTAGAGGAATTAAATGCAAAATTATATTGGTTATACCAATTATTTACATATGGTAACTAAGATTGTCGAGTATCAGTAACTATTTTGCCTTAATTTTTTATTAAAAACATCGATTTTTTTTACCAGTACTGGTCTTGGTCTTGCAACAGGATATATATATGAGGAAACTGATTGTGCATGTCGGATATCGGGAGGGATGGTATTCCAGAAGGAGGCGGCTTGAATTATATAGGATTTGTCAAATGCTGCAGTTCGGTGAGGAGGTGGATAGAGATCGGAGGTACGAGATCTAGTGGGCCGGGATTGAATGGAATATTTGAATTGTAGGCTGTGAAAAATATAGGAAGGGCGCTGAGTTCTGATGGCTTGGTATAGAAAGGTAGCAAGGAAGTACAGACGGCGATTGGATGGATAGAGTCACTTCAACTTGGTGTAATACTGGGTTATATGCGTATCTCTTGAGATTCTGAAAACAAAACGTATTGAGCAGTTCATGAGGCGTTTAAGTTTGGCCTCGAATTCTCTAAGAATATACCGACTTCTACGAAGAGATAATGAGTGGTGTCAAGTACATATCAGTGTAGCAGCGATATTATTTAATGGATGGGAATAGTTTAGCAATGGTTACAAGATAGTAGTCTCAGCATCCGTCTAAATTACTTATATTTTTCGCATTAGTCCAGAATTAGAGAGTAATTCCATCAACAGAGACGTAATTCTCAGATTGAAAGAAATTACGAAGCCAATTTCCCAAACCTACGATTTTGCCATTTTCACGATTAACAATATCGTAAGAAACTACTGTAATAGACAAGTAGGTCATGACTCTTGATACAAGTATCTTACGATAAACGTCGTAATCGCGCAAGTGTGAACTCATTATCATTTCTCACATTTTTTATGATTTAGAGTGATGTAAATCTTATGAGACAATTATCATAAACAGTTAATGACCAACGAAATAAGTCTCATCGCTCAGGTGTAAAACCCATCATACGTTATAATCAGATCTGAGTAACACGTAGTTTGATAGAATTGCAATTGTATTTCTTAAAATCATAATTTTATCTGTCACTTCAATCAATAAATAATCACGTTGTAGTTGAATTAATTAAAATCTCTATTATTTATATGCACCATTAAAGCACTATTTAGTTTAATAAAATCTTATACATGTTTATTCTTTTTAATTTTTCGGGCTTATATAGGGTGCACAAAAGGATTGTTGACTTTTTTTTTTGTGTATATGTATAATTCAGCAGTCACACAATTCAGATAAAAAAAATCGATTATGAAGGAAAAATCACTTCCACAAAGGATTGTCAGTAGTGGAGAGAAGTTAGTGATTGTCATTAATAGTATCCAGTCTGCCTGGCAGAATTTTGAAACAGCAGCCAATGGAAGAGCAACTGTATTGAAGAACTTTGAAGACAGAATTTCGATTTGCTAGCATGAAAAATGAGGAAGTAGATTAATTCAGTGAGTACGGCACTGTGCACCCATTCTCTCGATCCTGGGTTTGAGTCAGGCTGTGGCAGGTAATTATAAGTTACATCTGAGGAGAAAATAAAAGACTGGCAGCATTTCTACGACTGGGAATGTGCCTCGAAGGGTAAGGACCATCATGCAGTTCAACAGAAGATACCACTGGTTCCATGGTTTGCAACTCTTAAATGTCATATCGACCGCTCCAGCTTAGTAAAGCTGACCAGGCTTAGGATAAATCACAGTAGAACTAATAAATATTTTCATCTAATGGGTCTAGCTAAGAGTGGTCACTGCCCTACATGCCAATGCTTGGAGGATCCAAGACACATTGCCTTCAAGTGCAAAAGATTTGAGAAGCGAAGAAGAATTAGTTTAGGATCGCAAACTACGGATGATTGAGCTGCCTTTCTTCAGTTGATGAATAAAGATAATGCCCATGACTTGATAAAGTTTTTGAATGGCATAAAAGCAGTTATATAATAAAAGTCGCCTCTTATTCTCATTTAATTGTAAGTCTAATTCACCTCAGTTTTTAACTATTAGTCTTTCTAGTTTAAGTTCCATATAAGTTACATTTAGTGATCATCTATCTATAAATAATTAATAAATATCCAGTGTAATTTCATCTAACTATGGCAATTAAAATATTTTACTGGTAAAATAGGACTTGTTTTTACAAGTCTCAAAGCCAAAAAAGAACAAAAAAAAAAATCTGAGGTTTGAACCTGAGGTCAAGAGACCTTCCTGTGCCACACTCAATCTTTATAAAGTGTGTATTCTTAGTTCATTAATTAAATAATGGGGAAAACCTGATGGATGAGCGTTGAACCTATGACTGGACCTATAGGATAAATCATGTTTTTACATGAACATGTTTTACATGAAAAAAACTATATACAGATGTGATTTTTTTTACATGAAAAAAATTATTATTTCTTTCACTAAATATAAACAAGAAGATTTAAACAGTAATATTACTAGGGCAGCGAGTAATGATTTAAAGTTGAACGTCAAGAAGACCGAAGCCATTCTCACTGGTTCTAAGTATCTATAGTATCAATGGACTATTAGTTCTCATACTTCTGTTAGAAATTTAGGAGTAATTTTTGGTCAATACCTCTCCTGGAATAATCATGATTCCGAAAATCCATTGCTACCCTAAAACAGTTCCTGAGATTCGGTGACTCTATGCCCCTAAAAGCCCTTCAACTCCTAGTTTCCTCACTCATCCTATGCAGTGGACTGTCTGGTGGGCTTGAGATCAGATTGAGAAGATTAATGAATTGTTCCATAGGATTCATCTTTGAAGCCCCCAGTATGGCGAGTTGAAGTGGCTCTATCCAGTTCTCCGGCAGCAATATTTCCTAGGTGTATTCCGTTTCTGAACCTTTGCAACCAAAAAGCCATCTTACCTCCTTTGTTTAATCCTTGTTCCTCTTTTCACTCGTTTAACATGAGATCCCAGTCCATAAACCTATTTGTTCCCTCTCATAGAACCGTTTCCTTTAAAAAATCCTTTATCATGAGTGCTACCTTTTTCTGAAATTCATTACCGGTCTCCATACGCAAATCCTCTTCCTTAACCACATTTAAACAACAATTATTCTTCTCCCTCCTAAGCATTATTACATTATTATCTTCCGAACACATGTAAGAACAAAATTTCGTATTTAAGAGATGACACCTTCATTTGGCTGTTATATTAAGGCTACTTATATATTAACAATATTGTAAATCAGAATAAATATATGGACCCACTCATATATATTTATGTGCAAATTAATATGTTTACTTGTACATAATTTATTTTAATTTTAAGGGTCGTCGTAAACCAACGACTTCCTGTCCTACAGTTTCCTTTAACAATACTCCACTTATCCCTGTTGAGCAAATCCGATACCTAGGACTCCACCTGGACAAACGACTAACTTGGAATCCTCATACTAGACTGAAACGACAAGAAACCACTCGACGTTTCCGATTACTTCAGCACTTACTAGACAAACGCTCTAAACTTTCCATTAATTACAAAAGACTCATATACTTGACTATAATAAGACCTATTTGGACTTACGGAGTTGAGCTATGGGGCTCCACTAAACCATCGAATTCCTCTCGCATCCAATCCTTACAATCCAAAATCCTTCGTAAAATCCTCAATGCTCCTTACTTTGTCACTAATAAAATTATCCATAAAGATCTTAATGTTCCTTATGTTTCAGATCTGGCCCAATCCAGATACCTATCCTTCCATAATAAACTTCAGAATCATCCCAACCCTCTCGTTTCTAACCTTGCTTCCTCTTCAATTCCTGATAACCTTCCGAGGCGTCTGAAAAGAAGATGGCCCCATGATCTCCTAATGTAGTCATATCATTAGAGTGCTACCATTGGGTAGTTACTCAGCAAGTGTATTCATGTCATTATATCAATTATGTCCAAATTTACTTGATGTTTTTATGTAATACAGTTGTAAATGTCATAAAGAAATAAAAAAAAAAAAATTAAGGTTGGATTATTGTGTTATGTTAACTAATTATTTTTTTATAGTACCAGACAATTGTCATTTTTTTGTTCACTGTAGTTATTCTTAGGGGACTAAATGTCCCAGAATAAATTTTTTTTTTTTAACTTTTATTATGATATTTACAACTGTATTAGTATGAATATATCAAGTAAATGTGTACAGAGAAATATTATCACATGAAACACGCTTGTTGAGAAACTACCCACTGGTAGCACTCTAATAAAGAATAAAATTTAAAATTTCTTCTTCTTAAAAAAAAAAAAAGTAAGGGTAAACTGCAGAATTTGTGTTTGTCATGTTAACAATATATAACTTTTAATTATTTTAAAGTGATAACTCTTTTTGTGTCTTTCCATAATTTAAAATTTGTTAGATTTTATTTTAATAAGAAAATTAATATAAATTGACAGAGGGATTTTTCTATATACAATTTAAAATATAATTTCTTAATATTAGCATCATAAGCCAACAGTAACATGCTCTTGATATGCACTATAGTATTTTAGGTGTGATTCATTCCTTTTTTTTTTGTTGCAACAATATCTCTAAGGTTTACATGTAGGTGACTCACTTATTTACATTTTAGCAAGGAGCACTTCAGAGGAGTTCAGCAGTGGTGAGTGTAAGTACAGAGAGAACGAGGATTATGTCCATTCCAGGGAGAAAAAAGATAAGGAAGACAGAGATGAAGGTAAGATAAACTTTTGGTACAAGTTCACATGAGTTCCGCACGGGTAAGGCGTGGTTCACAATCACTTCGATCACACTTGTTCATGAAACACTGAAAACAGTCTAATGTTGCCCAATGAATGTTAAATCAGATCTTCTCCCAACCATCCATTCCCCTTTGACACATTTTTGAAATTTACAAGTACAAATTATTTTGTATGTTTATTTAATTATTTTGCTTAATAATCTGAAAATGGGGAACTATTGTAAATCCCAAGGTCCCAGGTTCGAATCCGGCTGATGACTAATAATTTTTCATCAGCAGTGGATACAACTCTGGAGTCAGGAGATCCTCCTAGAGCACATCCAGCCTCTATAAAGTGGTAGTCTTAATTAAATAATTAGTTAAAAGGAAAACCTGGTGGTTGAGTGTGATATCGGCCCGATCACCTCCCTGTACAACCTTTGGGCTTCCTCATATAGTACTGAACCCAAGACCCTTCATAAGTTATAGTGGTACAGAGCTTTTTTTATTTTTTTTTTTTATCTACTACTATTTCTTTTGTATAGCTGTATAAGATATAAACATAAAGTTTTATTAAGGTTATGTGATGTAACCTGAATGTCGAATATAAGTTGGCTCACGCTTAAGGATATATGAGAACTTTAATGGCAGGAAAGATATTAGTAACTAGCTCAAGAGATCAGTCGTCTTCGTACTCTTTTGGATAAACCCGGATGCACCTGGCACTCCCTGAACAAGTGTAACTGAAGTGATTGCGAACCACACATAATCCGTGTGGAACTCTTGTGAACCAGCACCAAATTTTTGTTGTACTTTACGTAAAGATACCGTATGACATCCAATAATGCCTTAAAAATTAATCTTAAAAAATGAGGAATATTTAATCCTAAACAAGTATGAAATGTAAAATATTGTGATTGTGGCTCATAGTTATTATTATACATTTTACTGTTTCAGAGTGCATTAAAGTCTACGATGGGAACAACTCTATCAAGAGGCGTATTTTTAGAACCATAACAGTTTCGAGGCTGGCGACAACAGAGCACATCCTGACGCAGGCACTGAGGGCTTTCCACATTACAAAAGATCCTTGTAAGCAAATTCTACCTCCTTATCTAATTTAATTGTCCATTGAAGATTTTATATACGGCATCAAAGATGTAGGTATCAATTTATACTTTTAAGTTATTACAATATTCTCTTCTTTAATACTTAACTCAAATCAATAAACAGCCTAAAAGAAAAATAATATCTGACAACTAGGCAGCACTAAATATTTCTAATTCCTATTCAATCAAGTCATGGCTAGTCTGAAATTGTCTTAATATTCTAAAGCAATTAGATAGGGACCATTAACTTATCCTAATATGGACTATAGGATATGTAGGATTAGAATAAAATGTGATAGCTGATGCCCTAGAAAAGAAAGACATATGAAACAATCCAAAATGGTCTGGAGCCCTATAGAAGCATATTTACTAGTCTATGTTTTGGAAAGCTAAGAGGGAAATGCTACCAATTTAATTCTGCTCTATTGAAATATAATCGGTGTGCTCAACTCAAATTATTGTTGGATACTAATGGGAAATATGATCTAGTTCATGAAACCAATCCAGTCATAATCATATCTAATATCGTAATGATATTAAATAAATATAAACAACATTTGATAGAGGGTTACAAGAAAACATTGCTTATAGTGAATCTTTTTTTTAAACAATGGTCAGATCTCCCAATATTTATTGATGCCAGCTAAGTTCAAATACACCAAATTATTAATGCATATCCACCTCTTGGGAAAATACATGATCAAAGTCTAAGTTAATAACAAAATTGTAAAAATCACTCCACAACTTAAGTACAGGTAAGTAAATGTGCAACACTAAAGAAAAAGAGGCACTTTATTATGCTTTATATAAGTGCCTAATACACAATTGTTCGGGAATAAATATTTACCAGATATGGAAAATCTTAATGGGATGGAAATATTTAAGCCAATCACTATATATGATAAGAGAAAATTATATTTTTTTATCTCTAATATATCTAATTATAGAGATTTGGTTGGGTAATCTCAAATATTGTTCTTTGAATATTTTAGCCAAAATGTGGATTGGATTTCGGCTGCTCCAGCCTTATTTCCTTTGTATATGCAAATAAACTATTAATTTAATTTTAAAGTGATTTAATATTAATATTTAAGAGATAAAATGTATTGATTGATTTATTGTTGTTGTTCATGTGTTCTATTAACAATTTAAGATTTTACACTCAGTGTCACAATGTTAAATACACCCATTGAAACTTCTCATGTTTTTGTAAGCACAGTTTAAAGTATAATTTATGATATTGAAATGGGGACAATCTTCTTAGACCTTATGAGGATTATTTAAATCCAATATCAGTAAATATTGACATTTTATATGTGTCAAAATGATAGACGCACTTGTTGTCGTTCACTATTTTCTTAATCCTCTAGAGTTGAAATCTTTAAAATACCATTTCTACTTCAGTGCAGTGCTGAATTTGTTTCAAAATAGACCTAAAAAGAACGTGAAATGTGGAAAAAAATAAGCGTTTCTCCGAAGAAGAGTGCTGTTTGATTTCTTCACTCCACAAAGACGGGATGAGTTGTAACGAAATAGCACACCGAATCAAGCGAAGTTTTTCATTGGTCGCAAAATTCATTCAGAACAGGGATAAAACAGCAAGAGCAATTGCTGAGGAAGCTGGAGTTCGAACAAACTAAGGAATGTCCAAAGTTTATTAAAAAAGTCAAAAATAATAGTTATAAAAAAATTGAAAATAAAACCAGTTTTTAGTACCCGTCACAAATTAGTCCAGATGGCCTTTGTTCGTAATGTGATGTCATGGACTGAGGAGTGGAAGAAAGTTATCTTTAGGGATAAAAAAAACAATTCAATCTGGTTGTTTGGCCAGATGGATTTTCGCATTATTTTCATGACTTAACAAAAGAAGAAAACATTTTATCAAAGCGTCAAATGGAAGGAGGGAAAGTTACGGTTTGGGCATCAATTGGTTACAAAAAGAAAGGAAATTTGGTCATTTTTTTCATCAAGAGTAAACTCAGCTGAGTATAAAAATTAGAGGAACAAAATTTGACTATTAATGACACGTCTGAAGGCACACCAGTTTTCCATTCAGCCCCAATACATTCAGCAAAAATAAACACTGGTTTACTTGCAACAAAATTGCTAAATTAGGCTAGCTTGCTGTCTCCCCAAACCTAAACATTATCGAACTCTTTCAAGAAGAGTGTACTCTGAAGTAAGACAGTTCGAAACAATCAAGGATTTGAAATCTGTGATTCTGGCTTCATGGGAACAATTACCTCAAGAAATAATAAAACAATTGTAGGATTCATTACCAAACAGAATTTTTGAATTAATAAATGGTGGTGGAAAGGCCACGAAGTATTAAAATGAGGTTAATTTATTTTTAAGGGAGCATCTCTAACATTTTGACGGCCTTAACTTTAATTTGAAAAATAAAAAAAAAATGTATATATTTTTGGCTCGAGAACCAAAATACAAGCAGGCTGCTGATTAACTTCAGGTGAGTGATAGATTATTTGAATACTGTTTTACGGGTAATTTGAAAAGATGGGAGGATATGGATAACAATTTTTGAAGTGTGTCTAATATTTTGACACTGAGTTGATGTTGATATTGAAATTATTTTAACTGTTTTATTTTTTATGAAATATGATTCAAAAGTTATACTTAACTCTTTTATAATATTTATAATGTAGCATAAAAAAAAAAAAAAAAAGTTGTGTTACCATAAAGAAAGCAATGTTTATAATACAGAGATAGACACTATTTTTATAGAGCTCTTCCCCCCAAACAAATACTGATTAAATAAATACTAGCCTAACTAGGAAATAAATTAAATCCTGAGAAATGAAGAAGAAAGAAATCTGTGATGAATCAAACCTACAATGAAACAATCCAAATTTTTCATCTATTTGTCAAAGAAAAGGCTAAATCATATCAATCTTTTTTTTTTAATTGGACAACCCCCTACCCACCATTATTGGCACACGGGGAAGGGGGGAAGGAGAGGTTGTTCTAGAGGTACAACCAAACCTATTCTAACCAGAGTGAGAGGGTCGAATTTCATTCCGTGAGACGCCACAAAATAAAATATAATATCCGCTAAATATAATAAAGTCTACCACAAAATAAAATATAATAAAATTATATCAACCTCACTAAGAATGAGCTGAGTACTGTAATGGTTCTCCTAAAATATCCTTTCAAGTCATATCATCTCTTCCTTGTATTTTCCCCCACTTCAACTTCGGTTGCTTGATTTACGGAGAGCTATTTGCTAGAGATGAGACTTAAAATATTTATAACTTGTTTCATAAGATTCATCTTTGAGTTTTCCAGGCACTTTTGTGTAGAAACAAGAATGTTAACCAAATATTGGTAAACACAATATTTGAGAAGAAAATAGGCAAGGATGATAGTTGTTAATAACTACTATCTATCTTTATATATAATACGATAGTTTTTCACAGTATATATCCTTTTTCTGGCTCTCATAAGCGATATATTTTGATGAATGAGGTATCAAACAAAAGGGTATCACATGGAACAGTCGAGGAATCATAATAAGATCCTCCCAAAATTTCAAGAAAAAATTTATGAATGAAAAGAAACTTGCGAATAACTTAAAAAATATAAATATTTTTGTAGAATGTACTCATGATTATTTGAAAGATTACTAAAATCCCTGCAAAACAAAAAACAATTATTGAAATCAGACCATCATTAGCAAAGATACAGGCTTTAGTAATGTACACATTTTGGTTTATTATTTTGAACGAACTAATGTGATTTAACTGAGAAAAAGAAAATTATTTCTATCTGATAATACATATAATAAACTTATTTTTATATTACATTGACCAATATTATGCAAAGTATTCTCACAGACCAACTAGTTGGTCTTTAATGAAATTTGCAAATAGAATGTATCTAGAGCCTACTAATAAAAGGCTTTAAATAAAAATGTATTAAATTACAGTTTACAAATAAATAAAATTAGCTAAGAGCTGATATATTAAGCATTATGTGCCATTCAACGATTGACTCCTCCTTCAGTTCCTATCACAGCTGTTATTTAAAGTTTTTATCTAAATATGAAAATTTTTCATTATTTAAAATTTTAATTTCAATCTTATATGATTTTTCTTTTAATGCACCAAATCTAAGATATTTAATGTAAAGATCTGTTTCACTTGAAGCTTCTTCATTTGTTTTTGTAATAGCTATTGAATTTTTTAAATCTTCTTTTTTAGCAAGCTTCTATCTGACGGATTTGTACGCTACAAATGAAATGCTGCTATCAGACCCTAGTCCTGTCCAATCGTTGACGAGAAGAGAAGGAAAAAGGCCGGCAGTTTTTCTAAGATTTCAGTGAGTAATTAAAGTATTGAGAAATTGAAATTAAATTTTAATTTTTTAAGTATAAAAATATTATTAAAATAATAATTAATGTCTTCTTTGTTTTAATTTTCTAAGTAGTTTCAAATTTTTAATTAGTTATACTACTTCCTTTCAATTAAGAAATAATCAAATTCAGGTAAGAATCGTTACAGAATTAACAAAAGATATTAAAAATTGGAAATTATATTTTTTAGCGACAGCAACAGCGGCGAGGTTCGAGTTTATCCTGGAAAGTTACAAGTCAGTCAGCCATTTTGCACAATTCAAGTAAACGCAGAATCAACAATAACTGATCTCATAAGAGAAGCGCTTATTAAATTTGGGCTTGAAAATCTTAGGCCTGAAGATTTTAGATTAAGTGAGATCCTTCTCGATCGAGGGGGTAAGAATTAATATTTTAAAATAATTTGTTAATTTGGTTAGAAATCTATATATATACAGGGTATCTCAGTTCATAATGGGAGATAAATATAGACAAAATTTTCAACAACAAAGTTCATTTGAAGCATGGGCCACTTCCAAATGGAAAAGTTGTCCCCTTCCCCTAAATATGAGATAAAAAAAATATAATATAATATACATATATGTTCATTTCCTAGATGAAATCATGTTTAACAATATAAAGTAAGGCTGTATTTTTTTATTTATTCAATATTTTTATTTTAATTAAATTGATTTTTGAATTTACTTAATGACTCAATCCCATTAGGGTTATAATTTATATAATGTTGATATTTAAGAGATGACTAACATCACTATCGTATTATGTTAAATGTAGGTTTGTATGAAACTAATTGCGAATTGGGTCTTATAGATGGCTAGAAAATGGCAAGGTAGCCGATGTAGAAGAAAAATAAACATAAATATGGTGAAAAAAATATAGCCTTACTTTATATTATACATAAGGATTGCTCAGAAAATTAATTTTTTGATTAATTAAAGTTGTTCCATATATATTGTAACATCCCTCTTATATTTGACAAATAATAATAATAATATAACCTCGGAAGCTTACTTCTTACCATTGGGATACTTCCTAAATAAATAAGAGGTTGTTATAATAATAAACCACATTATAAGAGAATTAATATATTTATTTATCTCAGGTGTGGGTTACTGACAATCAGATCAACTCAGGCAAACTATTATTATTTATACTAAAATTAAACACTGAAAGATTTTAAAATAAAGTCAAATATGGATTGGCAAGCTAACCTTTTTCTATATTATATGTTTCTTCCTTTGTGGCACTGAACTCATTTGTCTTCAAATACTTTCCAAAGTTCTGCCGAACACAACTTCCAAAATGGTAACACTATTACTGGGTTTCACCCACTGGAGCCAGGATCTCTTCTCCTATCCTGTCTTCACTGCAGTCACACAACAACTGCTTGCGAAAACAAAAACCTTTGTCCCTCTCCTCTTTGGAATTTTTCTTCTTGGGACAGAGCAGCCGTTTTCTTTTCCATGCACTAGTAGAACTAGATTAGCTTGCCTTTTAACTGTTATATCAATTTATTAAACTATTTTTAACAACTTCCAATAAAGGTGTATATTACAATATATATTATATTCATCTAAAATTTATATGTTTAGTCTTACCCTCCTAATATGAAAGCTTCGTACCCCCTTGTCCTTTATTAAAATTCATTTTAAGCTGTATATTTAGAGATTAACGAGGAAGCCTATTTAGTGTTTTTAAGTCTCGTATAATTTTGAATTACATTACCTAAATCAATTTTTTTTTTCTTGTTACAAAGATTTTTTATATAACACACTTATTTCCAAAGAGAACCCTAATCATCATTGCCAAATTTTCAGGAAACGCTAGAAACTATATTTTCTATTCCAATCGTAATATCCAATATGAAAAAAAATATTTAAAAAAATAATAATTAAGCTATTCACGAAGTTTTAGGCAAATGTTAATAATTTGACAAAAAAGGGTTTGTACCATGGACTATTAAATTCCTTGAACAAAAAAAAAAAAAAAAAAAAAAAAAAAAAAAAAATGCCGGTATTGAAAATAAATTTATTTTCACATCAGATTTTTTAATACTTAAGTTTGTTTTAGAAAAAAGTAATTATACCAGCAAATTCATTAGATGTTTTTACTAAGAATCCATAATTATTTTGATTTCCAAAAAAATCTTTTATTTGTATTTATTGTTTCAAACTTTTAGGCCAGTAATATTCTATTCTTTTGTACAATATTGTTATTCTAAAGGGACATAGTCACAGAATAAAGGTTTTTTCTAAAAAAAAAAAAAAAATTGTGAAATGTATTTGTAGTATTAGTGACTTTTTTAAAAATAATACTTGTATAAAGAATATATTTATTATTTATCGTAATTTTTTGCAGTTACTGAAAGGGTTCTCGGCAGAGAGGAGAAGCCATGGGATATAATGAAAGCTTTAAGCAAAGATTCGATAAGGCAAATGGAACTCATGAGGTTTTACCTTCAAATGAAAGAAGACCCTCATGGTCCCAACCTGGCTTTGTTTGTCGGAAATCTACCGCCATCTTTGTCACAAAAAACCTATGAAACCATACTTATAGATTTCCTTGGAAGAGGTAATTATATTGATTCGTTGCTTCATTTTAAATGTCAATCCTTAATTGGATCGATATGAGCAGTAAAATAGTAAATTTTAGTAATAATAATTAATTATCCTTTGTGATAAACGTTCTCAAAAGAACTTATCACAGAAAATTAAATTGAAGAACAACTACAATAATATAACATGACGGCTCAACTGTGTTGACATACTTTTCAGTTTAAGAGGTCCTATTTAAAACCAAAACCAAAGAGAGTTAGTTAGGACCATTCACCCACAGCAAATATATAAAAAAAAAAAAAAAAAATAGTATAGAAACTAATAAACAAAGTAAAGATTCCTTCCGTTTTATCGGGGGACTAGGTTATTTACACTCATGATTTAATTTTCTTAAAACAAAACCCCGGCACTGGATATAGACTTTTTGAGGGTGTTTAACTGTTGTTGGGAATTCGTGAATCTAATACTTTTGTGACACTGAGTGACAAGAAATAATAAGAATATATATATATATGTTGTAACGTTCCCTTTGTCAACATAAATCAAACAACGAGTTTCCTTTTTCAATATATTATTTATTTTAACACATAACATAAATCTCAGGTTGGGTTCTGACAACTGAACACTCATTCAACATTTAATAACTATAATTTACTAATTACTAACTACACTTATTTATAATTTAAAATATTTTATAAAATAATTTGTCCCGGTCTAAACTTTTGGTTCTATCCCTCTGTCAACATAAATGGCATTGTTAGCACTCACCCAAATGTTTACGCCTGCCACTGAAATAATCTCTTCTTACTTACGAATGTCCCGTTTTCTGTACCACTTAATTATTTTCTGATATGTTGTTTTCTTCCAACATAAAATAATCTTCACTAGTGGCCTCTATCAACACTCGAACCGGCTAGGACTCCTTTTTCTATTTTCTCAGCTTGCTGGCTGGCACCTACTCTCTTGACAGCTTGTCACCTTCTCTCTTGGCGGCTCATAACCTCCTCTCTTGGCCGCTATCACCTTCTCTCCTGGCGGCCCGGTACATTCTGAGTTACATGAGGCTTGCTTTCCCAACTTCCTCCCTGTACTTTCGCGCCACTATTTAAATGCCATGTAATGTTGACATTACAATATATATATATATATATATATATATATATATATATATATATATATATATATATATATATATATATTATATATATATATATATATATATATATATATATATATGAAATGTGGAACTAAATAAAAGGACTATTCATTCCTGTATAATAAAATAATTTATTTTCACTACGGTAATAAATTGAATGTATTAAAGTTTTATAACTAAAGGCTTGATATTCTTAATCTTCAGTCTAGTAGACTTCTCTTCTCAGGTAACCTCCTTCCTTCATGTTCCAGCCTCAAGTGAGTTCTTCTTTCTTCTCCGGCATCCTTCTCCAGCTGGTGCTAACTGCTCGGTCCTTTTCTCAGCATCTTTCTTCTTCGATTCTTTATCGATATGAGACTTTTCAATGAACAATTTGTCCACTGCACAATTGAGTACAATTCATAGTACAACCTCACATTCCTATATACTCCTTCTCATTCCCTCACACAATGTCACATAAAGGAGTAAATACTGGGGGCTATGTACTAAAGAAAGCAAAGATTAATATATGTAGATATGGGGGATTCTCAGTGAGTCTAAAATAATAGTATCATCCATTATCTCTATGTGCTTCCTTCGAACACCGAGCCTCTGCAAGAAATAACGGACAATTTCCCTACTTCCGAACCACAGCCCTATAATTGAGAAGTTTCTCTCTCTGAATTCATTCTTATATTTTTCTTGCAAAGGGGTATGCATTTTTTATAAATTTCCTCTTTCTTTGCCTGCATCTTAAAGTCTTGATCTTGCTTATTCGTTTCAAACCCAATCGTGGAATCCACAATATGCGTCTCCTTCTATGTTACATTAAATGCTAAAATGTCGATGAACTTTTCAGAACCTCCTGTGTCTATACAATAAACTTCGAAGAAAATGTAACGGTCAAGCATGTTATAAAGTGTAAACTTAGTCTAATGACACCAGTTCGAACCCAGCCTAGACGGGATAAAATTTATTTCATAGCAGTCTCAAGGAATGAATCTCACTAAAACGCTTCATTAATATACTTGCATAGATTATTATGTCAGCAAAAGGCCTACTTTCTTGACTTTTTCTCTATCACTATAAGTTCCCTACTATCATACACGTATTTTTCTTATCTATATTCCACATATCCACTTTACAATGGGAAACCTATACCTAGATTTCCTTTTGATAAATTTAGCAATACAAAACTAATTTGTGAAAAAAAAAAAAACAGTAAAAATTAGAGAATGGTAGAACTTAAGAGATGCTAAAGCTTAAGTTTTTAAGGCTTTTTAGAGATAGTTGAAAAAGTAAAATGAATCATTTCATAATATATTCATAACAGAATACAATTTAAGAAGTCCAGATAGTATGATTTTCCTAAATTATCCTTTCACCACTTTTTGCCTACATTTTTTATAATACAATTCTTTTCATTTGAAGAAACATTCAAAGTTTTTAACAAGTATTCACAGTCCACAATGGTATCATATATTAATTCTTTCTTAATAGTGTAAATAACCTACAGGAAGTTAAATGTAAAATGATTAGTTTTGGCGGGAATAGCGAATAGCCTTCCGCTTTTGTATCGTGGTTTAAGGTTATTTACACTCGTGAATCTTTAAAACAACACCCCGGCACTGGATATCGACTTTTTGAGGGTGTTTAACTGTGATTGGGAATTCGGGGATCTATTACCTTTTATGACACTGCGTGAGAAGAAACAATAAGAATATATATATGAAATGTGGGACTTAGTAAACACTTTGAATGAATTGACTCACCTGGTTTATTCTTCAATTGTTAGGCCTATAGGACAACTAAATAAAAGGACTATTCACTCCGGTATAATAAAGTAATTTATTTTGACAATTGATAATAAATGAATATATATAAGTGAACGGTGGGCTTGATAATCTTGGTCTTCAATGTAGTAAGCCTCTCTTCCCAGATGACGTCTTCTTGTGTTGGTGTCCAGGCCTTAAGTGTTTGGCGTCGTCCTCGCCATCTGTTGCCAGCTACCTGATCGGACCTTTTCTTCTTTTCGATTCTTTATCGATGTGAGATTTTCCAATGAGCAATTTGTCCACTGCACAATTGAGAACAATTCACAGTGCTACCTCACATTCCTATATATTATATATACCTTCTCATTCCCTCACACAATGTCAACTAATGGTGTAAATACAGGGGGATGTCTACTACAATAGGTTTTTAGATAATAAATTATAAAAGTCTGTGATTTCAGTGGATGCCATTTTTATTTTATGTTTATGTTTTTTTCCATAAAAAATTCAAACTTATATTTATAGTTTTGTTTTATTAAATCTTTTAAATGGTGATAATATAATTCAATATAGCTATTAAGGACCATAGTTAATTTGTTGTTATTCAAAAAGCTGTGAAAGGATAAATTAATAATTTATATTCAGCTGTCATTTGGTATACCCTAAAGTTCTCTTAAATTACAGAAAACAAATTCTCATCTATTGGCCCAATTTATTACGAGTATGGTTCCATGGTTATTACGTACGCAGATGCAAAAAAGGCTGTGAGAGCACTATATACGCTAAGAGAATCTTCTTATGAAGAGAAACAACTTCTAGGTCAGTCTATTTCAATGTTTGTATTATATTATATTATACATATATGTATTTACAAATAAAATTATATATATTGTTGAACAGTTATGCTGCTACCTAATATTGAACCTCGGATGGTACCTGGTGGCGTCAAACCTCTTCTCGTGTTCGTAAATGTCAAGTCAGGAGGCTGCCAGGGATTGGAACTGATAACTTCCTTTAGAAAACTGCTTAACCCGTATCAAGTATTTGACTTAGACAATGGTGGACCATTGCCTGGGTTAGTATATCTATTTGTTTATTTCTTGTATAAGAAAAAATACTTTGAACTGTATGTACAATCAGTTGAACTATATATTATTAGCCAAAGTGTCAGGAACATCTAGATATGTAAATATACTTATTCTTATACAACTATAAAAAGAAAAGAAAACAAAAATAGATATATTTCATTTCAAAAAATAATGTATAATACTGACTTGTATGGTCCTCATGGTCTTCAAAAAATCTGTTTTTTAACAAAAAAGAAGATGAATTATGCCAGAGCCTACGGGAAGGATGAGGCGAAGCATTGGTCCTTACCATTTTGTTTAATTTAATCAAAAGCCGTGCCATCTGGAACAAGTTTAATTTGAAATAAAAAAAGGCTTAGACAAATATTTTTATTTATAAAAGAGTAATGCAAAATTGATATATGTGTCTCATAGGAAAAGAATGCCTCGTCAATTTTTTTATTAAATAATTTAGTAACTAAGAAACAATTTTTAGCTCAAAGTTATGGAAAATTGGCTTCCCTGAATAAATACAAAAATGGACATAGTGTTCTTTATATCTGGAATACAGATATCTAGAAGTCATTATATTTTTTATGCCCAATAATCATAGTTTAATCAAAGTATTTTAATTTTAATTAATTTGTCTATAAAGCAAAAAAAATTAAATACAATTATAAATATAAATAATAATATAGTTAAACAAACATTATTTATTAAAATATAATTTTGCACATGTAAGCAAAAGTTTTTTACAAAGTACGAGGTTGATGTAATCTCATACAATACCTTAAAATATTGTACAAATATAAGAATCCTCGAATGGCAACACTGCTTAGGACTTAGCCCCAGTGCTGCTACCTGTTGCAGAAATAATAAATTATGTATATATTTTCTTAATAAGAGACAGGTGTAATTTAAAAACTTTTTCCTGTTGTTCCAAGTATCATGAAATATAGTATGATTTTTCTCACTTTTAATGAAATTGACAATATCAAAGATGTTTTTTTAATTTTTTGTTACAGTCTTTATGTCTTCCGCCATATAAAGGATTATAAAATTCTCGTGTGCGGAGGTGATGGCACAATCGGATGGGTTCTACAATGTTTAGACAATGTCGGACAGGACAGTGAGTGCTCATCTCCTCCATGCGCTATCGTCCCCTTAGGAACAGGTAATTGAAAGAATTTAAGTATTCTTATTTGTATACATTATATTAATTATTAATTATATATATAATATTATTATTAATTATATATATATATATATATATATATATATATATATATATGATGTTATTAGAAGATTCCAAGTCTCCTTCAAACATTGTCAGGAATGAATGTTACATAACCGTCGGTACACGTCATAGGTGGGGAACCATTGTCGCATGTGTCCTCTAGACGCTTTTGCGAGATGTTTATTAATCAAATGATAGAATTAATTGTTTTATTATTTAAGTAATGACAATGTGGAAATTAATAGATTTAAGTTGAACGTATGTATGTGAGTGTGTGCATTTAGTGATAAATATAATAGCAACGGTAAAATATAAAGAATTGTTGCAGCCTCCATTAGCTTTGCCTAACCTTATTGCACCCTCTAATAATAAAAAGGTTCCCCACCTATGGTATATGTGATTAACTTAAGGAAGAATCTTTTAATGCACATCCGCTTGCATTAGGGGAAAAACATTATCCTGTATAAGATACCCAGAACCCCTTAGAATAATTCCTTAAGAAAAGTCAGGTGTTTAATTATAATAAAAATAATTCCTTTTGTGAGACAAGTCCTTTAATAATTTTTCTTAGCCTTAATGAAGGCCTGAACTTCGGGCTGAAACATCAGCAAATGTAAAAATAAATATAATTATTTATTATTACTTTTTTTTATTTTAACTGATCACTCCAACCATCCTCTTCAATTACTACCTGCAGTCAACCATCAATCCCCAATCCTTTAAGAATAATATTACACAGAAAAAAATAGGGGTTTTATAACCTAAGAATAGAAGGAAGAGAACAAAAGAATATCCAAATAATAGTAATGAAATATTTATAATTAAAAGCATCATTTATCTGATTAGGATGGACACCATAGAAATACTTGTATTTGAAAATAATTCTCCTTAGTTATGCCATTGTCAAAAGCTTGAGCTCTCTCCTGCTTGACATTCAGGATTCCTAGACCAGTTAGTCTGGTAAATGATCTTATGGTCCATTTTGCCGCTATTTATTAACCATAGTGGGAGTGCCAAGATTCATTTCTTGAGGCCTTCGAGAAATTAATATTAACCAACAGTGGGGGGAATCGAACCCACAAAGTTTAGAATTAGGCATTCCAGGATCCTTGCCTCATTTTGCTAGGCCATCACTTCCTCCATCTTATTCTCAGTTGAAAAGAGAAACCTCCCACTAAAGCTAATAGTTTTTGGGCTTGGGCCTATTGTTTTATTGTCCAGGCACTATTTTATACTGTTCCTAATAAAAATGAATAATATATTCATTTTCTTTTGTTTCAAAGGAAATATTCTTATTCTAATAACCTTTCTTTCATGAGATATTTTTGAATGAATGAAAAATTAATTTTATTTTGGTACTAAAGTTCCCTTATAATAATTACAGAGTTCAGAAAATATATATTTCACTCTGGCATGTGGATATGAAACAGATATATACAAAAATACATATTGTATTTACATAACCTAAAAATTCTTATAAGCTAGCGGAAGTTTGAATGGTAGGTGATGGAATAGGAGCTGTTGGAAGGAATTTGTGGACGTGGTTTGGCGTATGGAGATAGGTAAGGAGGTAGCATGAATGACGAAGGATTTGCTGAAAGAAGTTGTTTTATGGGAGGAAATTTATAGGTCTAGAGTGGATAGATGAGTGAAGAGTAAGAGTTTTAGGATGTAAGGAGGATTTTTAGTTCTGAGGACTTGGAAAAGGAAAATACCCAGAGGGAATTGCCGTCGGGGGGTAAGATAAAGCCACTTCAACTTGGTGTATAGGGAGGAAACATGAGTACGCCTGTATTTTGGTGAAATATCTTTCAAGAATTTGTTTTCATTTATCTACTCTCCTAAATTTTTTTAATCAAATAAATCTATTTCAGGTAACGATCTGGCGAGAGTATTACGCTGGGGCCCAGGTTACACTGGTGGAGAAGATCCTTTAAATTTGCTACGCGATGTAATAGATGCAGAAGAAATAAGACTAGACAGATGGACAGTTGTCTTCCATCCGGAGGACAAAGGTGGCGAGGATAAAGCTACACAGCACAATTCGACAGGTAATATTTTTGAATTATTTACATCAGCTATATACCTTATATAATTATTGTGTGTTTTCCATTTCAATGGCTGCAAATAAATAATTTTTCTGTTATAAATATTGAATGGAAACGAGTTTTTTTTTATATATCTCTACCAGTTACTTTTATTGATATCAGTGAATTTAAAATAATAGATGAAAATATTTATATTATTGTTCATGTGATCAAATTAATCTTGCTATATTTCTCATAAATTAGGGCTGTATTTTTCATTTACTTAAGTGGTTTTTAAAGTGCTGGAAAACATAATAATTCATCAAGAAAGGATCAGTGTCTCTCAGAGTCATTCTATGAAAATTTATAAAAGAAACAACTGTTTCAGATTGCATTGTAATAAAAGAAGATGCTGTAAAGAAATAGGAGTAAGATAGGGTACTTTGTTTTTTAGTTCCAGACTGGGATTGGATTGAAGAAGGCAATTTACTTTATATTTTCCTGGGCAAAGAAATATCAGTCTATTCAAATATAGATAAATTAGAAAGATATAATTATCAACATTTGCCAGTGAATCATTATAAGAATTTCATTGATCCCATTATTGGTGCCCATACAAAACAAATACAGTCACTTTGATCTGAAGAGAAGAGTTGTAAAGATATAGGAGTAAGAAATGGTCCTTGAAAATTCTGAAATGGTCCTCCTATTTACTTTATATATTCCTGGGCAAAGAAATACAAGGCTGTACAATTTTGCCTGAATGAATTTTAAAAATTATCTTAGAGAAGTTCATACCGATTCATTGATAAAGAAGTCATTCTTAACTGAAATACCTGGAAAAGCTGTTAGATCAATCTAGCTTTACGAGGAGAAAGTATATTGCTGGATTGGTATATCAACACCAAAGGGTCTTCGAAGCAGTATGTAGAGAAATAAGAGAACTCTTCATATGTGCTGCCCTAAGCGAAATGCAAAAAACATTCCATCACTACATTATATAAAAGAATCAATCCTACTAGATAATGTAATAATTTCTGATTTATAGAAAATCTACTCAAATATATAAATTAGAAGGATATAATTATCAACATTTTTCAGTGAAACATTCTGAGAATTTCATTGATCCAATTATTGGCGCCCATACAAACAATGACTAGGGTCACTTCATTCTGAAGCAAAGAGGCAAAACAAGATTTAAGCTATCATAATAACAATGTAGTGCGAATTTATGGACGTCAAGGACGCAGGGAAAGGAATTTTGTCAGATATTATTGATTTCTAGACATTATAATAGGTAAATAATTATAGTAGATGGAAGACTGCAGCGGCTAGTCTATGCTAAAAAGATTCCAAATGAGAGGCCACCAAAATAAAAAGATTATGAATAGCAGGATAGGCGAAAAGAAATTGGATGACTTGGAGGATAATTTGAGACGGATGAGGCCAAAATCCAACTAGGATAGGTTTAGTGCCATTAAGTTAGTTAGTTTTGATAAGATAATAAATTAATATTGTATTAATGTTTTAAAATCATATGTGCACTTATTTTATACAATTTAATTCACTAATATTACTAAAAGTACCTGGTGGGGATATATCAAAAATGACCGATGGAAACATACAGTTAATGATATAAGAAGCTTGACAGATGGCTTATTAAATGTAAAACACACATTTTATTGTAGTACGCACAATGTCAGAGTAGTTATTGACTTGGTCGTGGTGGTTCTAGGTTGTAGGAAGAGGAAAGTGACTACCACAGTCAATAGTGAGTTTTGTTTGTCTCTACAAACTAGAACTATCAAAATCGATAGAACCTCTATCCATAAACCACTCTCTCTGCCCCGTTCATCAAGAGGAAACAAAATCAAACTCATTAGTATTGTCTTTTTCTTTTGTTTATTTATTTTGTTTTGTTTCTTTTCTTTTTATTTTTATATGATGTTGTGTTATAACTTTTTTTTAAAATGAAAAATATTGTTTGAATGTAAAATTAACTGGTTTTATATCTTGTTAGTTAAATGTAACAGTCAATTTTTTCTTCAAATAAATTTTTTATATTACTAATTTTTGAAAAATCCCAATACCGTTCTCCATCCAATGATAAGCTGCCTTTTTATAAGATATGGTTTTCTGTTATACACCTATTTTAATTTGTTTGCATGTTTTGCATAGAAAGTTTTGTCGGCTTGAACGTTGTTAAGTTTTTTGTATATTACTGTAATATTCCCACAAAAGATATTTAAATCATAAGATTTATTATTATATAAGTATTGTGTATATAACTTTCGACACTTATAACTCAAATTCTGGATAATATTAGAAATTTTTCTGATTAATTGAGAAACCATTAAAAAATTAAATAATAATAATAATACTAATTTGTAAATAATTTTAATAGAAACTTTATTTCTATTAAAACTATATTCCATCTTTCAAAGAATTGGTGTAAGCCAAATTGACGAAGACATTCTCCTAACAGTTCGAATTAGTTTTTGAATGATTATAATTTATTTATATTATAACTCTAATATTATCTTTTCTGATTGGCATAAATAATTAAAAAATAATTTTGTATTCAAAACCTTATTTAAAAGTAATAACATACCTAAAAAAGTAATCACTGTATGCAAATACATTCATATTTCAACTTTGTGTATTTAATTCTGTTAATTTAGGTGAATTAAAATAATATATATCTTGAATTATTGAAGGAAGTTTATCGGCTGTTCTACATATCATGGGTGATAAATATTCAGGACGCAGTCATTATAAAGTTTTTATTGGTGCTGACGTTCACAGGCGGATTTACGGGGGGGCTTTCGGGCTGAAGCCCCCCCCCAAAATGGTAAAATGTAACCATGTTTTATGGTAAAAAATATAAAAAAATTATGTCTTAAAGTATTATTGCTCGTTTAATTACATTTAGTAGGGCTTCAAGAATCACTTAAACACCATTTCATATGGGTAGTTAGTATCTTTCTGTTTTTCCAACGTAATTATCGTTATATATATGAAAAAAAAAGCTTCCGGGCTGAAGCCCCCCCCCAAAATTAAATCCTGGATCCGCTAGTGCTGACGTTTAAACATAAACATGTAGGTCATCATCAGTGCTCGAAACATATGTTTGGGTTGAAATGTTGGAACCAATAAAAACTTTATAATGACTGTATCCTGAATATTAATCACCCATAATATATGGATAAGATTATTTTATTGGGGTAGAAATAAGTTTTAAGTGTTAGGATTTTTTGTGAAAATGGGGCTAAATTGTTTTAAATTAGTAGTAAATTCATTGCAAATTGTCTATCCTAGCCACCATTTCTTAAATGGCACTATGGCACAATAGGAATTCCACATTGAAAGAAGAACTGATCTTCGGAGGTAATCCAAGAACCCATTAATTTTTTCATTCCTCATAAGAAGAGAAGTGCTTCTCAGGCCCGTCATTGATTGGAAATATTAGTCCAAAGAAACTATGTCTGGAGAAAATGGCTGGTGAGGATAAGTTATATTCGACCATTTGAATATTTTCTAGAAGTTGTTCACTGGCATTATAACATGTGAAGGAGCATTTTTTTGCTGCAGTCATTTTGTTGGCTCATATTCTGGCATTTCTTCGATGTAGGGGATAGTGATTCCCAGGATGATTTTGTTCATACGAGTTTATACTCTCTTGTTTATCCCTGTTCGGGTGCCAAATTTACATTTTTCAGAATGTCGAGATCAATAAAAACAATAATTTTAAGAATATATTAATTATTGTTTTTAATATTTGCAATCCTTACAGGAGACTTAGTAGTTTACATAAATACAATTAAACTTTATCACGTCACAAATATGAAAAATAAATTCACAGACACAACTTGTTGACAAGATGTAACCTTAACACTGATAAGCACAATTAACTGTTTCACTCACTGAATATGGACTAACTTCAAACCGAACTCAACTAGCTGGTTTATAGTATAGTATACTATATTAACTTATTCCTTATTTACTATTGTGGCCTGGACAGAAGGTTATAGAACTTTCTGGATTTAGCATTGTCTAGATGTTTTTAATGGCAAAATCAGCTTTTCTTCCTTCCTATCCACTTCCATTTCTTCTTTTTTATACAAAGATGATAGGAATCTGCTTTGTGTTTCGATAACACCACGTTCTCAATAAATTTCTATACCCAATAATTAAATATGCACTAAATAGTTATGTAGTATATGAATAAATATAGTAATCCTATTTAATAAAACCATATAATACTTAATATAAACTACATAAAACTGCTAGTTACAAAATTAATTTTCAGTAAAAATCAGGAAATGAAGTTGATAAAGAATCAATAACTGTTTTAGGACGGTTTCAAAAGTCTGTAAATGAGGAGGTCACATTCCATGGATTGAATTGTGTTAATTGATATTAATGGTTGTAATACCAGACTAATTTAAGATTAATAGTTAATTTGGTATAATTAAATAAAAATTAAGCCTTTTTTAAAATTTTATATTCTATAGATAATTAATAATTGATATTCACATTTCTCATGTCTTTAAGTGAGTATATACTCTCTCGTTTCTAGTTCGTCCCTGTTAGGGCGCCAAATTTGGACTTACATAGTCCATTATGAAAACATTCATGTAAAAACAATGCAAATCTCATTTAATGAATATTTTAGCATCACTTATTGTTATTTGCTATTTATCTTTTATTTAGTTAATAATTATTGTAAATCTATCTTTTATTTATTTGTAATTTACCTTCTTGTTATTATAACCAATCTATGAATCATTTTCTTTAAAAGTGGTGTAAGTCCATTTTATTTTATTTGGATATATTTAATGATTTGTATTCCAATGGTAATGTTGGTTTACGTTAAAAAATGATGCTACATAATTTCATATTATAAAATTATACTGCATAATGTTCAATGGTTTATGTTGAAAAATATTGGTATATTTTAAATTAATACAAATATATGTTATATTAAGAAAATCATACATTTTTGAAATATTAAATGTGGCATTTCAATTGAATCAAAGTTTTATTACTGAAATTAACAATTAGTAATTTTAAAGATAATCTTATTTATCTGCTTCAAGTTAAATGAACAAACAGACTACAGTTTTATTCTCTACAATAAATGGGCAAAATTTATATTGACAAAATTATTAAAATTTTGAAGGATTTTTTTGAGAACTGTTTGACAAAAAGCTCATAACAGATTGTATTTATAATTAAAATTAAATAAATTTTTGCCAAAAATAGATTTGCACCACTTTCAAAGAAAGCGGCTCATATCATATACATTAATTAATCGATGTTATTTTGCCTATAACCTCACCAATGCATTTTTGTTTATAATACAATATTTTAATAATTGAGTGTTGTGTAAAATTGTTATTAAAAGAATATATGATGTGGGACAATTTAATATAAGGTGAAATAAAGACATGACAAGTATGAAGGTTAATTTTCAACAATTGCCTATAGAATATGAAATTGAAGTTTTTAAAAAAATAATGCAACAAATAAAATTTAAGCTCTAATAGAGTAAGCCATTCATTTGTAAACAAAAATGGAGCATGTTTGCTAGTCCAACATCGTGAAATGATACTATAGTGCGTTATTCCTGAGTGTATGCTAACTTCCAACTAGACATTAATAAGTCAGCTGTTTTAGTGCCAACTAATAGCATATTAATCATAATATAAAAAATAGACTAATATTTCTAACAATTTAAAAAATATAAAAATAACTAAATAAAGGAAAAAATTAAAATTAATTCTGAATATTATAACCATGTCGGCAAATCTATTGTATGCAAAACTTTTAAATTTAATTTGATAATTATAGGGAAAAAGATTCTTAAAAAAATATTGAGGTTTGCTCGACTAGTTTCTTTACAAATGAAGTATACTCGATTTAAACCAAATTAATCCAAAATACTAATATTTATTGATAGGCTCAACCAGTGAAGAAGTATCGTCTGTAATGGTAATGAACAATTACTTCGGAATCGGAATTGATGCTGATCTCTGCTTGGACTTCCACAACGCAAGAGAAGAAAATCCTAATAAGTTCAATTCGAGGTATTCTCTATTAAAAAAAAAAAATAATAATCAAAACATTTTTGTATTTTATTATTGATTTTCATCTACTTTAATTTTTAAAAGTAATTATTCTTTGTTTGTCTTGTTTTAGATTGCACAATAAAAGTGTTTATGTTAAGATGGGTCTGAGAAAAATGGTTGGCAGAAAAATGTGCAAGGATCTACAGAGAGAAATTAGATTAGAAGTCGACGGTAAACTTGTAGACCTTCCACCTGTCGAAGGAATTATCATTCTAAATATTCTCAGGTAAGAAAACAATAACTTATCTTTCATTTTTTAAATTTAAATAAATAGTTTACCTATTATAAATATGATTGAAACCATTGTTGAACAGTTGGGGCTCTGGAGCGAATCCATGGGGAGTGGAAAAAGAAGAGCAATTTCAGAAACCGAACCACTGGGACGGGATGCTGGAAGTAGTCGGAGTCACTGGTGTAGTTCATCTGGGTCAGATACAGTCTGGTATGCGTTCTGCGATGAGAATAGCTCAGGTAAATAGATATTTTTTAATCTATATTAATATAAAAAAAAATAGATGAGTTTGTTATTGCAATAATTTTAGCAAATACTATTTCAATTAGATCAACTATTTTACATTAAATAGACCTGTTATTGAGAAAGACTTAGTAGTCCAAGAGCCAAGTTGAAAAAGTGTGACTTATTTGTAGGAAATTTTGAGCCATACACTGTTATAATACCCATCCTCAACATTCAATTTTGGACTCTCCTGCCAACTCATAAGTTCAAAATGGCGCCCAATAAAAGAGAGAACCCAGATGTGTAAGAACTGCAGCATTTGAAGGTGATTTGGTCCAAGCCGAAAAACTTTGTTTGATGTAGTTTCGAGAGAGCATCATACAGAAGACAAAATTGGAAAATATACATCTTTCCTACTCAAAATTGCATTTTTGCCAATATCAAGGAAAGAACTATTCAAATGAAGATTGTAAACTACTTTTTAATGCATTCTATTAGTTTTAATTTGAGCCCTGATAGAGCTTTTTATATTCAATAATTCCAGAGAAACAGTCCCAAAAAATAATATTTAAAAAGCTGGTGTACACATCACACAACTTTCACTTACCACTCTACTTTGAAAAAAAAATTATTATCTGGCAAAATTAGGTTTTTAAAAACAATTTTTAAAACACATTTTTATAGAGCTAAATTTCAAAGAACACATTTTTGAATTTTGGTCATTTTATTTGACTCCATTCTCTGAGCTTTAAATAAATTATTATTCAACTATGAATAAGTAAAGATTGTACAACATAGTAAAAATTATAGGAATTAAATCTCTATTACTTTTTACATATATTTCAACTAATATTTTTTCCATTTGTATTTAAATTTACCAAAATACAGTTATGAGCTTTTCAATACAGCATCGATAGATAACAAAAGTATCTTGGGGCTGAGCAGTTTCATGTTGACTTGAAACGAATCATCTTCAAATGGTGCAACTTTTACGTATTTGGATTTTCTCTTTTAATTGGTGCCATTTTGAAATGTCCCTAATTTGAGTGGAAAGACTAATGCCATTTGAATACTGAGGATGGACAATTTAATTTGTTAAGACTAAAAGTATTCTTCAAATAAGTCACATTTCGACTCCTTGAACTAAAAGGCTTCATGAATTCAGACAAGGTAAGGTGAAAAAAATAAAATAAAAACAATAACACCATGTTACAAAAAATAGAGATGGAGCAGTAACCATAAGCATCAATCAATCTAGAAAACTCGAGACAATTAGGCTAACACAATTTCCCTTAAATATTGTTTGCAGTCATTATAAATAAAGCATAGGGATGAACTTTCAATTATGGAGTAAACTTAAGAGAATTTTTTTTTTTCACACAGACAACTATATCTAGTAATACATGTTACTAACGGTCCTAGTAATATACAGCAAACTGGAGGATATAATTTCGTTTTCAGGGAGGACACATCAAAATTCACATCCACGCTGATATGCCAGTGCAGGTGGATGGAGAGCCGTGGGTTCAGGCACCTTGTGATGTAGTTGTCCTCAAGTCAGCGCTCAAGGTAATGCACTAATCTAATCTAGAAATCATTCAATATCACTCAATAATTTTTTCTTTACTTTTATCTTTCATAAAAAAAAAAAATTAAAAAAATCGGATTCATACTACATTAATTTTAGCAAAAATTGTTGCTACTTATTCTTCATAGTTACTCCAAGAAGTCAGTTTGTTCCATGATCACTCAGAGCAGACTACTATATTCCTGAAAAAAATCCAAATGTGTCCGAAAGAAGATAAAACTTACTGATGCCCAACTTTCGATAGCAAATTTTTACTTAATTACAATATGACAATAATAATAGTTGAAATATTTAAATATATATATATATAATTTTTAAGATTCTGATCACATCATCAGATTATTAAGTAATTAAGTTATTTGTGATGTGCAAAACTGTTTTTTGTGAGTATTGTTTCTTCAAAACTTGATGGACAAAAAAAAAAAGACCTCGTCTTCTGTTATCTTTTCACTAAATTTTTTTGATAAATTAAATCTATATTATACTTTGATAATATATCAACTGTGGGACAAACAAAATTGTATAATTGCTGATAAAAGTCAAACTATCATTCATTTTTTAAAAAAATTATTAATGAAAATAATGAACAATTAGTAACTAGATAGGAAAATTAGTTGCTAAAACCGTTCGTTGAACAGAAACTACATAGCTGTTTATAGGTTGTAACAGTACAATGGCTGGTGTTTCCTAGAAACATCTTCAGGATCATTTCAGCATTCATGAGGAATCTAGGAACAGCGTGTCCTAGGTGATCTTGAAACCAACTGCCATCTTGGAAGTAACAAAAAGGAACTAGTACCAAACTTTTAAATTACTTTAAAGGTATCTATTTAATGAAATAAAACATTCTAAACATAAGGAGATTAAATACAAACAAACATTCATGATCCGCCTAATACATATTTTATTTCCTGAATCAAAAAATAAGTTTTATACCAGAGTAAAACTAGGTTCTTAACAAAAAATATAAATTAGTCTATAACTAATAAAAATGCAGGATGTATTATACAACTGTAGTGTATTAAATACCTGCATTACTTGTGCCATAACATTTTAATTTAGCACTAATTTACGGCTTGGAAAAAAATAATAATATTGAATTAAAAATTTTATTTAGGGTATTTTTTGTTTTCCCATCCGGGTATACCCACGCCTCTTTATGAATATTTTTATGGGTAAAACGGGTACTACTTATAACCATTCGTTTTTCAGTTGCAAAATTGACTATTCGAATACCATTATCATTTGAGAGGTCATGTTTACTATGTCCCCCAATTGTAGGCCTCCCATAATTATCTTCACATCATGTCTTGGTAATGAGTCATATTCTTGTGAGAGAGCTTCATAAAACATGTCTTTATCCTCTTCCTTGCTATCTTCTATCGGTGCATGTTCACTTATTATCAAAGTATTGAAAAATCTCCCTTTCAAACGAACAGAACAAATTCTTTCGTTCACTGTTTTATAATTTAAGAGCAGATACTTCAGTGTCTTTCTTAACATAAATCCTGCACCTAAAATATTTTGATCGTGGCCACTATTTATAATTGTGTAATTTCTTAAATCTTAGGTGATGTGAGAAGTTATCGTGGAGCAGATGCAAATTCGGATCAATTTTTTGATAGGATCTCATACAGACAAAAATTTGCAAGAAAGATCTACAGAAAAGAAGAAAAAGCAATTAGATATCATAGTGAATTACTGATGTCCTACAAAGTTTTCTCCAAGAGGAAATCTGCTGTAATCATAATGAACAAGTGGAGGAGACCTGGAAATAAAATTAAGGGGTGAAGAACACGGCTGATGAAGTACTTGGCACTAGAAAGAAGGAGACCAGGAACGAATGGTACAATGAGCAATGTGAAAGGGTGCTGAAAGAAAGAAATGAAGTAAGAATGAAGATGCTAGTGAGATGTATGCAACAAAGTAGAGAGGATTATAGAGCTAAGAGAAGAATAGCTACAACTATCCGCAGACAGAAAAAGAGGATTCTGGAAAAGAAGAAATTGGAGGCATTACAGAGTATGAGGCTAAACAAACAAGGAAGTTTTATAAAGGGATGAGAGAATTTAAATTGGATTTCCACACTAGGACAACTATTTACAAAGATAATGAAGGAAATTTGGTCGGTGATCCAGTAAAAGTTTTAAATACCTGGAGCCATTATTTTGAAAATCTGCTGAATACTAGTGAGAGTGAGAAGGAATGTGAGATTTCTGATTTGAGTGGAGAGATGACAGAAAGAGATTTAGATGACGTTTAACCTTGCAGTAAAAATAACAAATCCCTGGCTGGGACAGTATTGATGCAGAAATGCTAAAATATGGTGGTGATGATATCCTGAAAAAGCTACATGACTTAATTCTAGAAGTATGGACCACAGAAAAGATGCCAAGCGAGTGGAATTTGGCTATTATATGTCCAATATTTAAGAAAGGGAATAAGGCCTTGTGCGAAAATTACAGAGGTATATCTCTGTTGGCGGTGACATATAAAGTTTTCGCAAGTTTGAACTCCAACAAATGTACTGAGAGCCAGATCTGGTGTCCTTTGGAAGGAGTCGTTGAGGTGGCTAGGGCACATTGGGAGAATACCAGCGGACAGAATCCCAAAAATTTATTAGGAGGAAAGCCTGGAGGTAGCAGAAGCAGGGGACGTCCTCGGAAAAGATGGCTGGATGACCTAGAACAGGTCCTCCACAGCCTAGGAATAAGATAGTGGTGAAGAAAGGCACTGAATAGAGAGCAATGGAAAAAATAGCGAAGGAGGCCCAGGCCCTTGTAGAGCCGTAGCGCCATAGGGTAGGTAGGTAGTTAGGATATTTTAAGGTTTATTTCTGTTTAAGAATTAGCTTATTAATTTGTAAACAAAGTTTTTTCCGACTATTGTAGATTTCATTATTATTAGCATTGTTTATTAATTTTTTCGAGTATACTAATTTCTCTATACTGAAAAATTAGAATCGGGAACTTGTATGGAATGAAAAAATTGCATAAACTTCAGCTAAAATAGAATCTAGGTTATAAAAAATTTATCATTTTTTAAATAATAAAAATATATCATATCTAACTAAAAAATTGAAATAATAGTACATCTGGGAGATGCATTGGGGAACAGAAGGAGAAACTGAAGTCAGCTGTAGAATGACATCTACCGATGCCAAACAGGATATTACCTCTCTCAGCTTCTAACTTATTTTATTTATTTATAAAAACTAATAATCTATATGTTAATAAATACATAATAAAATACATGAAATTAATATTTTAAATTAAACATTTTTACTCCAACAATAGGGTGAAAGAAAAAAATGAAAAGATTTTTCTTGGATGGAAGTTTTGAAACTAAGCACTAGTGTCAGCTAATAAGTATAAGATATCCAACAGTTCGAGCTAGCATTGACAGCCCCTGATATAGCCGTGTCTCCACTATTGTGACATACCTCCATCCCCATCACTTTTATTTAACACTAATTATTTTTTTGGGTTTTATAGTTATATCCTAACATTCACTGAGGAATACAAATTGAAAATTCAGCGAAGTACCTCAAAAATCATTTTAGTACGGTAGTGAACTAGTGAAAATAAACCAATGTTAGCTCACTACGTAACTTACCGTCTTCAGCTGGCTTAACGATTGATAGCACTAATTGTTTAACGATTCATTCAGCCCTGGTGTAAGATTAAAGCTAAAATTAAAAATATCGATACTGATGAGTTTTCATAGAAATTTTAAGCATTATATATTACTTAAATTGGTTATAAATTTTAACACAATTATGTAAAAGATTTTTAAAGCATGTTTTTTTGCATAATGACACAATGCTTCTAACCCTCAAGAGTGTTACTCTAGCATGAAAAGTTCATTGGTTATGGGAAGTGGGGAAATTGAACCATAGTTTCCTACATTTTGCTTAGTTTTTTTCATTAGTGTAATTTCCTTAATTTTTCTTTTTTTTTTGGTTTTTAATCTTTCTTCCTTAGAAACCCTTAAATTCCTCACTTTCTTAGAGCCTGTAGTTTTCATTTTATTTTTTTCTCCTCGTTCCATGCATTATTTTGTTTTTTACTACTTTTTATTCTTACACATTTCTTAACAATTCAAAAATATTTTTAACTTGACCATTTTAAATCTATTAAATTGCAAGTTAAAAATATTCAAATAATTTAGATACTTTAAAAACAAATTTAATTATTCAGCTAAAATAAATTTTAGCAATGAGGGGGGTAAAGGGTATTAATTAACTCCAGATGTGTAGCAGGATCTACAGATGAGCGATTTTGATATAATTGTAGGCACTTACTTATTTACCTATGTATTAGTACAAAATGAAGTTGCTACTATCTTTTTTTTTTCATCGACCTTCGAATAAAAATAAGGTTTACCAAAAAATCAGTGTTGCTTTCTCACTATTTTTATTAGATGAATAAGAAAGTAAGCATATACCTGCATATGATTTTATTTAAAACTAAATAGAATAATCTAATAAAAAATTGTTCACTAAATTTTGTCAAGTTAAATAATTGTCATATGTTTTCTGTCTAACACTTTTCAGTTCTTAACAGTGCATTAAACCCAATCAAACTAGGCACATTTTGATAAGTTTGCATATCCTGAAGTGAAAGTAAATGATAGAATTTGATGTAATTGATATGAAACTTTATATACAACCGCACAATACCTGAAAATTTCATCAAAATTGGATTAACGGTAATAGGTGATATACCCATCAGTTTGACTGCAGATTGACCGACATGTTAACCAAATTAGTTCCTTGAAGTCCGAAACACCAGTGGAAATTTTCTATTATGAACACATAACATTGTTTAACCTGTCACACGAATACAAAGCTTCTCTACCTTCAGTATTGAAGAGCAAAAATATCCTTTTTATTTAAGATTTTACGTAATTAAAAAATAATTATAATAGTAATAACAAAAATCAAATTTTATGCTTGAACAAGTTGATAAGGATGAATAGA